ACTAGATGGCAATGTTGTTTTCTACAAAGAGCCTCAAACCTTGTGTCCTGAATGTACTGGTGGCATCTTTCTTTCAATTAATGAAGACCTCTTTCCGCACATGGTTCATAATCAATAATTTTTTTGATAAGTTTGACAGGTACTTTGTGACAATCATAATTATCACATATTAATCGAATTCTGATCTAGCTACTTGCTTCTTTTGTTTTCTAATCATTTATTCATCAAAAATTTGTAATAACAGTTTAAAAATATTGATAGCAGATGGGAGAGTTAGAGGTGGTGGCAATCCATAGGATCTTCTTATTAACTCTGCTAGTCTTTCAAAATTATTAGATACGTAGTTACTGTCTTTACAGTAAAATTCATCCTTTAGTATGTTTAAAATTCTGCTGTCTACTCGTGATGTATAGTCACTGGTTTCTATCATAGTAATGTTAAAAATACTCATAATATGCTCATTATAATTATACCAGTTAACGAAGGAAATGAATACATGACATCAGGAATACCTGCTGGAGCATCAGCATGCTTGCTAGGTCTAATTCTGTGACTGTTCCATTCCTTTGAAAACTGATTTAGTTCATCCTGAATAATGCGACTGAAGCAATATCTGGCAATGTCACTTTTTGTTTTACAGAATGTTATTATTGATAATTAATTCACTTACAGGTGGTATGATAGATGAATATGAAAATAACCATTTGATACCAAACTCTATCATGACAACTTATTATTGATTATATTTCTATAAAGTATATTATATACCTTAAAAAATTGATCCACCAATCTGCATGCTGCTTTCGTAATTGGCACCACAGTGATTCTATTCTCTATTATGGTTCTTATAAAAAGAATTAAAAATTAGGTAACATTACTTGATTATTTACTGAGCGACCATATAAGAAGCTTTTAGGTCCAGCAAGACTATCAGTATGATAATGTCTTAAGATTGGCTGCATAACAGAAACTAATGAATTTTCAGTACCTAAATCAGATCTAAGAATACTAGGGCAACCTATTATTATATTCAAAAATCATTTGGTGGTAATTTATTACAGCTCATAAGTGCTAACCATTACATCTGACACATTCTACATAGTGGTGTGCAATAATGTGGGGATCATTGTTCGATGAGCCTGCTTTGAGCCACAAAATCTTACGAGAATAACTAGTATTAATTCTAATAATAAATAGATTGTATTCATAACATTTATTACCCATCAATGCATCCATGAATAGCTATACCATATGGTTTTAATTTGTCATAGCCATCCATATGCCATAAATAGTTAGGACCTACTTAGAAGAAAATAAACAAGTCAGTCATCATTGCTATACCTTTATTAAGGTAAATCCTACGATTCAACCTTCTTGATTTCCTTTGAGTTGTACCGGCAGCATCCATTGTTGCTAAGAGCATCATCACTACATCTCTATATTATTTTGCATTTTAATCAACTAGCATGTAAAATAAAAACCTTGTAACAGAGAGATTATATTTCTTCTTCAATCTGTGCCACATACTTCTATATCCTAATAGGCATCCTGATCCATGAAGTTCTATCTGTAAATTAATATAATAACTATCATTTCAAAAATAGAAAAGCTACATTAATTGCAATTTTGACTTTTTCAATAGAATCTCTTCTTTGCAGAGTACTATACCCAGCTTCTTTTAATGTTCTTTGGATATATCTAATACTAAATTTTAGCGGCAATATTAAATGATGATTATATAGATACTTAATAGTTAAACATACTGAATGAACTTTAATGGACGCAGAAGAGATTGAATTTCTTTATTAGTACAGCCAGTTATATGACATTGGCAAATCAATCTTTTTAGCAGCTCTTTTTCCCTAGCTTTTTCCATCGCCAATCTAGCGCTATAATCACTATAGTTTGACTGGGCGTGGTTGGTGCATAAAATGCATCTCAACCACGCCCCAAAACATTTTAAACGTGAACACGTACATGAACGAGAAACTCGCGATATCATGAACAAGAACCCGTACGTGAACGAGAATGTCGCGTTCGGCTTCCGTAGTTATCAGATCTGTTCACAATCACGCTCTTAAATGAAGTTGCCACACTTTTTTATTTAAATGGCTAGGACAAAATAGTTAATAAACAAGGTAAAATACAAAAAATACAATATCTGAAGGTATATCACATGTCTTTAAATCTGTCCATGACACTTTTGACAAAAAAAGTAGTAGCAAACTAGCCCCTTTTACTTTTGCACACCTACAAATGGAAAATCAACAAAATGGCACTTCATGTACAATCCACACAATCCGAATTTATAGTTATTAAATGAATACAGATTCCCTGAATACAACAATGCCAACAAACCTCCTCGTACAATGCAATGGCCGGTCAAATGGGATGTGTTCTTTTATATCCTCTACCACCCTCACGCTACCAGTAACACAAAAACCTTTATACTGTGAGAGAGATGACTCAAGCCACACTTTAAATGACAAATCTTCTGTATCATGATGCAGCTACAGATGGTACTATGTTATAAGCAAAAGATGTTGATATCTTTTGAGATGAGTCTTTATCTGTTTTAGAGGAATGAACCCTCTTCATTGCATTAGTTCTAAAAAATGCATATATAATCAAACAGTTTATGAACTCTTGAGAAGTGCTAACCTCTTGATCTCTATCATGATAAAATAATAATTAAAACACAAACATATACAAAAATGAACCTTCTGGATTGATGTATGGACAGCACACTATAAACAAACAGAAAATAACTATGAATAAAGGACAAGATAGGATAGGTAAAGCCACTATAAGTATTAATATGTTTAAACTGCATTTTGAAATTACTGTAGGACGATCTATATTTGTAAATTTTTTCCATACCTAACAATTGCCATAGCAACCGTGTGCTATTTTAATTAAAAATGGCACAGTATTGAAACACAGCAACAGACCGCAGTGTTCTGGAGTTGCTATTCTTGCTGTTACTAATCCTTGGTTGCTTCAGCCTGTTCTCCTCAGAAATACTCTACCCACTTTGTCATGCTGTTTCTTGGGGCTTTATACCCATTCCAGTTAGTGGTTATTGACTTGTGGTGAGGTTTATGACAATCGACCGACCAGCACCAATTATGCAGCAAGTAGCTTAAAGATAGAGGTGCACTGGGTGTCCATACAAGATAAACAAGAAGATAAAAGGAGATGGCCCCACTATTGCTGCTAAAGAGATGATTAGATGCTGAATACTGTATTTGTAAAGACACGTGTTCAATTGTCATAGCAAGGCTCCATAGATTTCCATGACATTCATTTGCACTTCTTATTGGGTTTTATTGTCATGAATAATTATAAATCATCCTATGGTATTATTATGCTGCTCATACCAAAAATCAGCTTGGCAAGGGGCCTTAACAGCTCCACCTCCATCTTGTACCTCGGTTAAGTCTTGAGTCAGAGTCGACAGCAGCAACAGCTCCATCACTCTTGTACCTTTAGAGAGGGAATTAAAAACAGGATATTATGGTGCCATTACAAAATTAAAAACCTAGATTACCTGCCAAGTAGGGTAATTCTTGAGTCAGAGTCGATGGCGGCAACATGTCCAGCTTTATTGCTCTTGTACCTCGGGTAATTCTTGATTAGTCACAGTCTACGGTGGCTACCGCTCCTGCTCCATCGCTCTTGTACCTCGGGTAAGTCTTGACTAGTAACAGATTACGGCGGCAACCGCTCCAGCTCCGTCGCTCTTGTACCTGTTTAGAAAAAAACGGAGATAAGAGATAAAACAAATGACAGGATTAGTTAAGCCCACCTTAATGACTTCTCTTTTAATTAGTGTCAAGGGAAGACTATGTATAGTCTGGGTTCCATGGTTATAGAATAGCTCAAGCAAAAAAGGACCTTCTTCTTTGACAAGAAGGCAAGCAGTGAGCAGTCAAGCACATGTAATGAGACCACCAATCACGTGATAATTCACATGATTAAGTCGTATCGTAATTGTCAAATTGTACACTAATGAGTAAACCACCAGCCCATACAAGTCCTTTAAAGCATAGTAGTGGAGTGGTAAAATAGCACTTTGTCTGAATCTGACGGGACTCCCGCCAGATTGTTCGATCCGTCCTCATGTAACACAACCAAGTGTATCAGGGACAACCCCACTAATATAAAGGGAACTAAATAATGTAAGCTATAAAATACTTTTATTGTCGCATCAGACACACTAATTCCCCCTCAAACCCATACTACCAATTCCTCCCCTATACACCACGGCCGACAACAAACTAGTTATCACCGTCGCCCCCCAAAGCGACATTTGCCCACAGAATAACAGATACCCCATCAAGGCCGTTCCCATCATCAGTATATATATCACCACCCCCACATTCCGTACCATTCTTTTCATGGAACTCCCATAGTAAGTCCCCCTCCCTATGTGCATGTACACACATACAAAGAAGAATGAAGCCCCATTTAAATGCAAAGATCTTAA